CTCTCTCTCTCTCTCTCTCTCTCTCTCTCTCTCTCTAATGATGTTCCCAGAGACTTCTGTTCATACATGCTTTAAGAAGGCGCACTTTGCCGTTGAAGTTGATTTAAATAGATTTTAATGAAGTCACGCACCAAGGTAGGCTTTCTTTATAATCAGGAGCTGCAGAAGCAGCGGCACAGGGTTCTAACGAGGGCAAAGGGCGGGAAAAACTGTGTTTCCGTTTTTTTTTCCCCTTCTCTGTGCCAGAGGCTATTATGATAAATATGAAATTATGGATAACATTTTTTAGACTTTTTTTCAAAGCAATTAAATTGTCTGGCCATCAGCAGCCGGATGGAGATAGCATTAGCATTCCATGTGTGCCACGTTAATCCACATTAATTCCAAGCAATCGTGACATCTGGGATGAATACAACCTCCACCACACAATTCAGACCAAGGCGCCTTCATTTGGGCAAGGCTTAAAGAGGAACGCTTACCGTCGAAACACAGTATGAGCATGTGCTAAACATAAATGGATAATTAACACAAATCAATAAAGATAACCTCCAATCATGAAGTAAATAAGGCAGCGTTTTGATGCCACTTAATGTTGATCTACCTCTCAGATTACACCTGCTCTTATTATGACCCTCATCCCCAGACCCACATCAGCAACATCCTGTCAAACATACACTTTATAGTTGTTTCTCACTAAATGCAATGACAGCTCTTTCAAGTTGCAGATTTCCGTTTGTCATGTTAGGAAGTAGGGCTAATTGGGTTTCTTCTTCTTCTGCCTGTTCTCTGTGCTCCATAAATAATCACAAACAGGACTACTGGCACAGCAGTATGTTCACATCTCTGCTTCTTATTTACCGAACAACGCTTTATGAAAAGAAAACCAAATCCGTTACTACTATTCCTAATGTGCTCTGGAGGTAACTAGACAGAAACATCAGATGAATACACAGTCGTGACTCGATAATCCGACAATAAATGTAAAACCTTCTTCTATGTCGGATAGCAAGGCTGTCGGATTGTCAAGACGGAGGTCGAGATGCAAGGAGGGCTTGATGCTGGAAGGCTCATTAGTTGTTAATTATTGTTTATAGTTGTTATAATAACTAGAAGGGCTGGTCCCGATAGAACTTTCTGGTTTCTGGATATTTGGGCCCAATTAATGATGAATATCAGAATATTCAGCGCAGTCGGGGGCCACGTCCACTCTGGTGGAGCGCTCCGACGGAGTGGAAGTGGTCGGAACGCACAGGCAGTACTTGACTGCTGATGCTAGTTTAAGATAGCAGTCACAGTTCTGTTTCCACCATCGGTGGCGAGGGCAGCGGTGGCAGCACTATTCCCCCGCCACCGCCGCCACCATCCATGTTTACTTCGGTAAACACTGAGCACGCTCGCTGCGTGTGACGTCGTTGTGTCCTCTTCTGCGCATGCGGGACACTTTTGGGTCGTATGAAGTTCACACAGCAGATCACATACAAGTCGCATTCAACTGGAAATGTGAACAAACTCACAAAAAAATCAGATTTCACAAAAAAATCCAAATGTAGTATTAAGTCCTGCAGTGTGAACATAGCCTATCTGTGGGATTGTTCAGTCAGATAATACACCGTTTTCCTTATTAGTGACATAAAATGTCATGTCGGAGTCAGAATCCAAGGCTGTCGGTATGTTAAGGCTGTTTTTAATGGGTTCCGTTCGTTTTTCCTAAAAACCTGTCGGATAGCAAAGTTTAGGATTGTTAAGGGTCAGATTATCGAGTCACGACTGTACCTCCAATCTGCACAGACTGACCCTCATGTATCACTCTCAGAACTAAAAGGCTGTGCAAAGATGACAAATTTTGCTTATGCAAAAGATTTCTGGTCTCATCATAGAAATTAGTGCAAAAATCAACTTAACTTATGTTATAACTTAATAGTGGTTAGGAATACCCCTTTATCCCCTTTCAGACATGGGACATAGAACATGGCTGGTTCATCAATCTGTAAGAGTGACAGCATTCTGTCATTCAAGCCCCTTTCAGGTCACTTTTCTATGAGTGTTCCTCACAGCTGCATTCACACAAACCACCTACACTCACCGGCCACTTTATTAGGTACACCTTGCTAGTACCGGGTTGGACCCCCTTTTACCTTCAGAACTGCCTGAATCCTTCGTGGCATAGATTCAACAAGGTACTGGAAACATTCCTCAGAGACTTTGCTCCATATTGACATGATAGCAACACGCAGTTGCTGCAGATTTGTCGGCTGCACATCCATGATGCAAATCTCCCGTTCCACCGCATCCCAAAGGTGCTCTGTTGGATGGAGATCTGGTGACTGTGGAGGCCACTGGTGTCCAGTGAGCTCATTGTCATGTTCAAGAAACCATTCTGAGATGATTGGCGCTTTATGACATGGAGCGTTATCCTGCTGGAAGTAGCCATCAGAAGATGGGTCCACTGTGGTCATAAAGAGATGGACATGGTCAGCACCAATACTCAGGCAGGCTGTGACGTTGACACGATGCTCAGTTGGTACTAAGGGGCCCAAAGTGTGCCAAGAAAATACCCCCCACACCATTACACCACCAGCAGCCTGAACCGTTGATACAAGGCAGGATGGATCCATGCTTTCATGTTGCTGACGCCAAATTCTGACCCTACCATCCGAATGTCGCAGCAGAAATGGAGACTCATCAGACCAGGCAGCACTTTTCCAATCTTCTGTTGTCCAATTTTGGTGAGCCTGTGCGGATTGTAGCCTCAGTTTCCTGTTCTTAGCTGACAGGAGTGGCACCCGGTGTGGTCTTCTGCTGCTGTAGCCCATCCGCCTCAAGGTTCGACGTGTTGTGCGTTCAGAGATGCTATTCTGCAAACCTCGGCTGTAACGAGTGGGTATTTGAGTTACTGTTGCCTTTCTAGCAGCTCAAACCAGTCTGGCCATTGTCCTCTGACCTCTGGCATCAACAAGGCGTTTGCGCCCACAGAACTGCTGCTCACTGGATGTTTTCTCTTTTTCGGACCATTCTCTGTAAACCCTCGAGATGGTTGTGCGTGAAAATCCCAGTAGATCAGCAGTTTGTGAAATACTCAGAGCAGCCCGTCTGGCACCAACAACCATGCCACGTTCAAAGTCACTTAAATCCCCTTTCTTCCCCATTCTGATGCTCAGTATGAACTGCAGCAGATCATCTTGACCATGTCTACATGTCGAAATGCATTGAGTTGCTGCAATGTGATTGGCTGATTAGAAAATTGCGTTAAGGAGCAGTTGGACAGGTGTACCTAATAAAGTGGCCGGTGAGTGTACATCGCTGGAGAGCGCCGTGGCACACACCTAATATCTGTCATTCACGTGAGACTAGTCAATGCACCAAGTGATGAATAATCCATAATAACGCCCCAACAGACGAAAAGCAAACTGATGGCTGATGAAATGTTTAAATAACTAACTTCACTTTATTTCTGATTTCTTTAACAGTAAAACTGAACGTTTCTGAGGACTGACACAATGCCACAAATGATTAGACTGCAGCTAATAAAGTGTGAGTGTGTGACAGCTCACCTGTCTGAGGTGAGCTACATCCACAGTCTGATCTGCTCTGAGATCCTGATCGTTTCTTTCTCCAGACCTGTTGCTCTGCATAAATGCTCGCAGCTCTCTCTCTCTCTCTCTGGAGACACTTGTGGGTCCTACCGCTGTCTGATGCTGCAGATTTATAATAAACTACAAAGAAATAGTCCTGAACAGTTGGAAAGTAAACTCTCATTCTGTGTGTGACAGCTCACCTGTCTGGTGTGAAGACATGTAGGTGTATGTAGCAGTGTGACCTGCCATCAGATCCTGGTCTACACTGATCCTCTCTCCACTCTCTCTTATCGATAATTTATATTCATACAAATTTAATTACGTTACTGGGGCTGTTGTTCCGTGTGCAGCTCTCTCTCTCTTTGGAGACACTCATATGGATCCTGCTGCCGTCTGCAGGTGTTAAATAAACTCAGATCCAATCGTTCCAAACAGCTGGAAAAAATAAACTTCAGCTCCTCTTAAAACCTTGCGGGGAAAAAAATTACTACATTTTTTATTGCCGAGCATCAATATTCTTTAAGCTGTTGGTGTCTGTTTTCATTGCAGTGAGTTCTTATTGTTGTGGACATTTCAGTTTGTTACCTAATATATTTCAAATCGTCGAGCAAAACGTGTGAAAAAGGTGTGATGTGATTTTGGCAAACAAACTGTCTATTAAGCGTCTCTTTGAAGTTTTCAGATGAATAATGACGGGCAGCTATTTATTTTAACACTTTGATCGTCAGCCACCAGTTTAGTTTTAGTCTGCTAACGCATTATTTTGCAATATACATCACTTGGTGTATTGACTAGTCTCAAGTGAATGATAAATATCGCATGCGTACCACAGCGCTCTCCGGCAATGCAGATGGTATATGTGAATGCAGCCATGAGGACATTAACAGAAAACTGACCAATTTATGAAACAGGCCATCACTTTAACGGACTGATGAACCCAGAGATGTTCCATGTGCCATGTCTGAACGGGGGCTTCACAGTTCTAGTGGTTCTCTGAACAGGGACCTGCGATCTCCAAGAAGTAGTGACTGTAAAACCGCTGCTTGAAAAAATATGTGTGTTGTCTTTTGCTTGGTAGTTGAAATAAATAAAATAAGTTTTCAAAAATCCTCAATCTGCACTGTGCCAACTAGTTTTGAGCAAATCATATGAATAACGTAGTCAATTATTCATGACACATTAATCATTCAAAAAAGTAACGATATTCGTTTGATAATTACTCAACAAGTCGTGAGTTACACTACTTTCTTACGCAGACACTTTAAATAGCTCCAAAGCCTCGACAAAAAAAAAAAACCTGGGAGAAAAAGTCAGACCCTGTACTCTAACAAGTCGCCAGCCCTGATGAGTGCACACCATAGACTGTATAAAAGATGGACGTAGCAACCGGCCCTGAAAAATGAAGCCAACCCACAAGTGTCAAAAACCTGCAACATCACTACGTCCACTAGCTGCTGGCTCCAAAAAGCCCTGGCTCCCATAGACTGGAATTGGAAAAGAAGTGATCACAGGTCATGAAATACTGCATTCCTACAGCTCAGGATTTATTTCTTATTAGTTTTCATGGTCAAATCCAGAGATCAGGTGGCCAATCTGAAAATAAATCAATACTGAATTTTTTTAAAATCGTCAACATTTTGCGGGGCAAGGGGCGTGGCTGGCTTGATTGACAGTCGGCAGCGACCATGCAGAGGAAGCCAGCAGAAGGCGGTAAATGTGGGCGGGCAGAGAGGGCCCGCCTCTCAATCCGTCTGACCAATCGCTGCTCCTATGGCTCCGCCCCCCTCTGACGATTTTTGCGTCACTGGCTCCAAAAATCCAAGATGTCAACCAGGAAGTAGCAAAACCCTGGCTTCATGTTCTCAGTGCAGAAACCAACGGGTGACGTCACGGAAGCTACGTCCATCTTTTATACAGTCCATGGTGCACAACAGGTCAGGTGGTAAGTCCAGAACTCCAGGTTCATGCACACTTCAGCTCTGAACAAAACAAACACTACTTATTAACAAAAGAGGAATAAAAAAAGAATCATGCTACTGGAACAGGTTACTTCATAACACTGCTTGTTATCACGGTATGATTAAACTACCTTTGTCAAAAATGAAAATACCGGCAAAGAAATATGTGATTTGCACATTCTATTTTGTCTTAAGTGTCCTTCGTATAGTATCCAAAGTAAAAATAAATCTTAAACATTTGGGCAGAACTTGTGTACCAATGAGTGTGTTTTCAATTCAAATCAAACCCTGTTTCTCAAGCAAAATATTGTCAAGCAGCTAAACAAGAAGGTGGTTTTTATGTAAAACTGGCAAAAAGTTAATTAAAAGCAGAAACAATTTGATCAGAAATTACAAAAACAAATTTCTGGGCCATTTCAATGCCTCGCCTCCTATTTGACTGCAACACATAGGGTGCAGTCAGCCTTTTAGAGCATGTACCTTGATTACAGTGAGCTTGTTTAATGTATTACTACATACAGTAGAACATGCTGTTTGACATTTCATGTGTGACGGATGCAGAAGTCATCCACACATCCATCTATGACAAGCATTTATCACCACTGGTATTATCAGTTGCTCGTGGCATTATTACACACATGTTCAGTGTATACCAAATGTGGCAGACAGTGAAAAGACGACGGGAAAATCTGTTATCAATCTCTTAGTAATGGTAAGTCAGTCGAGCACTGGCACACTGTCTCCCCATGGAGCATTTTTAAACGGAGAACTTGTCATTATATTTCAACCGCTGATTCAATAAGGGGCTCATAATGAAGATATATGGGAAGTGCGGAACCATTTATCCAATACATCAGACTGTGTAATTCATACTTCAATCTTCATCGTCGCACACTCAACAAAAAAGCTCTGCCAGTCGCTGAAGATGAGAACCTGAGAAAACCCACACTAGCCTGTAGACTGCTAAACTCCTGAGCACATCAGATCTGGAGGCTGAGCTCTCCACTACTGCAGTCTTAAATAAACTAATGTGTAAGATGGTAGACAGCACATGTGGTGGTCATCCAGAGCCCATGCAGCCACAGTTAAATACACCCATCAATCACAACATTAAAACCACCAAAAGGGAGTTTAATAGTCATCAAATATTGCTGTTAATAATTAAACCACGTCAAATATATTTACCAATAAGCCGTTAGACGAAGGACATGCATGTCACAAAATGCACTGTAGATTAGTTGTATTATCGAGTTGTGCCACCAGTTGGAGCTTCCTGCTATTTCATAGTAGCGAGGTGGCACCATGGCCTCGAGGACATCTACACCAGGAGGAGCATGGTCGGGGCAAAAAGGATCACGGCGGACCCCCACTACCCCAGCAATGGACTGTTTGAGTGGCTACACTCTGGCTGGCACCCGAGAAACATCAAGACGAACTCAGAGAGACTCAGGAAGTGTTTCCTTCCTCATGCTGTCAGGACTCAGAATCTAAATCATAGCACCTCATCTGACTGATACGGCACACTGGACTCATGGTAATATGTATATGTGAATAACTTGTAGATCTATGTACACACACACACACACACACACACACCAATACATAACAAACATAACACACAGGCCAACACGGACACACAAAACTGCCCTCTTGCACACTGCACTTTAGTTTAAGATCTCTACCTCATTTATGACACTGTGACCTTTTCTTTTTACTAATTTTCTCTCTTTATTTTTTTTTAAAGAATTGTTCTTTTTTATAACGTCTTACTCTTATTGCACAGCCTTGAGAACAGTCATTTGGAATTTCCCTGCACACACTGTATGAGCATGGGGCAAATACAAACTCTTGAATCTTGAATCAAATCAGCTTCTCGAAACTATGACTTCATCCTGCTCCATACGACCATAAAATGAAGGTAAGGACGATGCTTTGGTAAATCACAAGTTCATCTGGACTGATTTCCTATCCAAGAAACACATCACTAATCCCTACCTCCTAATAATCTATCACTACCAACTCCAGTGCCAGCATATTCTTGAAATTCATACTTACTGGTTTGCTGAATGAATGGCTTTAATTGAACTGAAGATGCCTTCTCTGGTGTCCTGGCTAAGGGTTCCTTTGGCCTTCAAGATCGCCACAAAGAACTGTGAGAAGCAACAAAGCAGAGGAAGACAGAGGGACATTATTTCTCAGTATCTGTACTAATAACATGGACTGAGTTGTCTCTGATTGGATATCCTTTTAATTAATGGAAATCATTTTTAATGAGGTTCATTCACTGCTAGTAGTTCAATTGCTCTCAACACAAGAGACCAAATGTAATACTTCTGGCAACATCTGGCAGCTCAAAATGTAAGACCCCAATTATCCAACAGGAGAGACTTTGAAGTTGGGAGTTTTCTGCCCTACAGCCAGGATTCTGTGTTAACATGTCAGTAATACTGCATGCATATAGTACTGTATATCTGCAAAGCTAATATCAAGCACAAATACGAGGGACGTTGTTGTACTGACAATAAAGCGACAGCTGTGCTGGTCTCAAGTCATTTGAAGTGAAAATGGGATTAGCAAATTGAATGTGCATTAGGCCTGAAATGACTCCTAATTGGAGTGAACGGGTGGAGGGTGAGTAATTGCGTAGAAATTAGGCTGCAGCAGTGAGTGGAAAAGTCTGTTCTCTCCACAGGGAGAAAGAGCACCATAAATGCTACCTTGAATCCGTTAATGTCCCGTATTGCAAGACTGCACAAGTTTTAACTAAGCAGTGTAACGTACCGTACAGTATCTGCTTTCATGTTGCCAGAGTGCTATTTTTCTCACAGAATGTTTGGAATGGAAATCTTGACTTTTTTCACCGTATATTTTTATTATGGAAACAGGATTAGTTCCCTCTTAGGGCAGAGGAGAGACGCTCACTGGTGAGTATCATGGTGGCCACGCCCACGGGTCCTGGTCAGACAACACCTGACCCGGACCAAGCAACATGAAGCCTCCACTTTGTGGGCTACTACTACTACTACTACTACTACTACTACTACTACTACTA